CTTTCTTGTTAAACAGGGTTTTAACAAGCTCCTGCTTTGGTTTTTATTTTTCCAGGAGGGACTTTTTGAAGGGACTGGAACCGGACGTGTGAAATGGCAGCGAAGGTGTTTGAAAGTCTTGGGAAGCTTGGCCTGGGGCTGGCTGTGGCAGGTGGAGTGGTCAATTCTGCTCTTTACAACGGTGAGTGGGAGAAGCTGAGCGCTTCCAGATCCCTTCGTATCTTTGTTTGGTCGGTAGCTCGGCTGCTCTGTGCTTTTATTGCCGATGGCTTCGGGGGAAAGCCAACGCGGAGCCGTGCTGGGCTGCGTTACACCTCCTGCGTTGCACAAGCAAGAGGATCGCGAGGGCCTTTCTCTAGAAAGCGGTCAGTCGGCCACTGCCCTGTGAGCAGGCGGGGGGCCGGGAGTTGCGGCTGCGTCTGTGCCTTGTTGCTCCCAACAATCTAATTCGTTTCACCGGGCTCCTGTAGCAAAAGGCTTTAACTATTCCCGCTAGACCATTTCCACAGAGGAGGTTTTGGTGGTGTGCGGTGCTACGGGTGGTGATCGCAAAACCGCGCTTGACGTGCCGTTTTCTTCTCTAGTTGATGCGGGCCACAGAGCTGTCATCTTTGACCGATTCCGTGGGGTCCAGGACACAGTGGTAGGAGAAGGTACCCACTTCCTCATCCCCTGGGTACAGAAACCCATCATTTTTGACTGCCGCTCTCGCCCCCGTAACATTCCTGTGATCACCGGCAGCAAAGGTGAGTGTTTGGCAACCGTGAGAAAGCCCTTGATGATTGTGCTTCTTCTGGATGTGGAGATCCCATGTGTCCCGAGGTCAGTTTGGCACAGAATGGTTGGATCTGTCTTTTTAGGTACAGAACAGATTAAAGGACCCTTCCTGCAGTCCTGTAAATCATCTCTTTAAACATAAAGTCTCCGCCTTGCGGGTAGGGCAAGTCGTTCCCTGCAGCGCAAACAATCTGAAGCTTAAATCTGACCTTTAAGGAGGATTTGGGTCCCGAGGTGAATGGGGTAGCGACAGTAACTCGTCTTTGCTGGCAAAACGAAGGCTGTGTACTCTTTCTCATCTGGGTGCCCTGGAGAGGCCAGCTTTGGCATGTCTCCTGGCCGCGTGGTTTGCCACTGAACGCGCGATTCCCTTTCTGCAGATCTACAGAACGTGAACATCACGTTGCGTATCCTGTTCAGACCAGTGACTGCCCAGCTACCCCGGATTTTCACCAGTATCGGAGAGGACTACGATGAGCGTGTCCTGCCCTCAATTACAACCGAAATCCTCAAGTCTGTTGTGGTAAGGACAGTGTGAGAGCTGCTGGGATCTGCCCATTAGGTTGCTTTCTTCCTGAGCAGCAAGGGACCTGCGGGAGTGTGGAATATGTCATGCTCTGGAATAAGACTTCTCTTTCCACCCCCCAGGCTTTCACGGGCCATCCAGGAAAACTAATTGTAGCTATATTAATTGTTTCTCAATCACTCTGGCTGCCTGGCCTGCTTGATCCACGTTGGATGATCTCTGGATGGAAAGAGGTTTCTTCGTTGCCTGCTCTCAGCCATTAGCTCTGCTCTTCAGGCTGGGAGTCATAGTCAGGAGGCTGGGATTTTAATTTCTTCTGTAAGACCTCTGGCTTTGGAAGCATCCCCAGAGGACTGCTAGATTACCAACCAACTTTAGTCCAGTTGTGCGCTTTTACGTTAAGCGCTCCACTGGCCAACCTCCCAAATACAAGTACAGGCTGGGGGGAGAATGGATCGAGAGCAGCCCTGAGGAGAAGGACTTGGGGGTACTGGGGGATGAAAAGCTGGACATGAGCTGGCAGTCCAGAAAGCCAACCGTATCCTGGGCTGTATCCAGAGAAACATGGCCAGCAGGGTGAGGGAGAGCATTCTCCTGAGAAGAGGAGGCTCCGGGGAGACCTTATAGCCCCTTCCAGTACCTGAAGGGGCTACAAGGCAGCTGGGGGGGGACTTTTTCCAAGGGCCTGTAGTGACAGGACAAGGGGTAACGGGTTTAAATTGAAAGTGGGGAGATTTAGATTGGATATCAGGAAGAAATTCTTCCCACAGAGGGTGGGGAGAATCTGGGCCAGGGTGCCCAGAGAAGCTGTGGATGCCCCATCCCTGGGAGTGTCCAAGGCCAGGCTGGACGAGGCTTGGAGCAACCTGGTCTAGTGGAAGGTGTCCCTGTCCATGGCAGGGGGCTTGGAACTAGGTGATCTTTAAGGTCCCTTCCAACCCAAACCACTCTGTGATTCTAAATTCCTAGCCATTCAGTCTGTTTCTGAATCGAATGTCTGGGCAGCTAAGCGTTTGCTGGCTTTGGGAGAAAAATCGGATTAACTTTGGGGTTCATGGGTGCAAAGACAGGTGGGGCATGGGAAAGCTATCGCTTCTCACTGTGGTCCATCCTGATTTCAGGCTCGCTTTGATGCTGGAGAATTGATCACTCAGAGGGAGTTGGTCTCAAGGCAAGTGAGCGAAGACCTCACAGAGAGAGCAGCAACCTTCGGGCTCATTTTGGATGATGTGTCCTTGGTAAGAGTTCTCCCTCTTCAGTTTTCCTCTTTGGAGTGTGCCCAAATAAGAGCAGTGGAGAAGAGACTCCATGGAGGGTCAGAGAAGAGTGGGCTGGCTGGACACATGGACTAGGTTTGTCTGTCTGCAGTCGCGTGTGATGTAGCGGTTACAGCTCAAGTCAGTGGCTCTGGTGGTGTCGCTGGCCTGTGACCTTGAGCAAGCCCTTGACGGCTCCGCTGTGCTGGCGTATTCACAGACTTCGCTTTGCAGGGCTTTCGTAGTTAAAACGAAAAGCAAACGCTTCTGTGGGTGATGGATCAGGCTGCACATTGCTTTAGAGAAGGCAGCTGTTCCACAAGCACCCTGAGACACAGGGAGAAAGTGCCAGGCATGAGGAGGTAGTGAAAATAGCCATTTCTGATAGCATCCCTTTTTTTTTTTTTTTACAGAGTACTAGTTTTTCTGCTGGCTGTGTCTTCTAAGACTATTCAAGGAGGGAGCTCTCCCCTTCTCCCACTCCTATCTCCCTATAAGCTTTGTAAATTAAATCTAGTGTAATCTGGCTTGTACGCGCACCCTTCCCTCGAAAGGCTGCTTAGGGGAAAGGGACATATAGGAAGTCTTAGCAGGAAGGTGACTTGGTTGCTGCAACATGTGAGTTTTGACTCTCTGGTACTTTCTCGTGAGCCCACTACTGAAGGAAAGTCACCTGTCCCATCCCAAGAGCCGGCAACTGTCCCAGCAGCCTGGGCTGAGCACACCAGCGCGTCATAGAGGATGGCTCAGCAGACAGCGGGCTTCTCCGCCTTGACAGGGGAGCGCTGGGCAAGCAGGCTCCTTCTGGGCGCTTAGACAAGTGTGGTGTGTCTCTGAAGGTACTGGTGTTACTGGTCTGCTGGACTGAAGCTGTGCTTGTGGTGTCTCCCATGAGACTTCAAAACCGGATGAGGATGCCCTCTTGTCCCAGTTTTTGTTCTTTTGGGAATACTAGCATTCCATCTCCATACCAGCTTCACTGAGAGCTGCCTGGGTCACAGCGGTGCTGCTGTAAACTGTCAGTGTTGTCAAATTTGCTTGATTTCTGCCCTGCAGACCCATCTGACCTTTGGCAAGGAGTTCACAGAGGCGGTGGAAATGAAGCAAGTGGCCCAGCAAGAAGCAGAGAGAGCCAGATTCATTGTGGAAAAGGTACCTTGTCCTTCTGAGGAACTTGGAAAGGGATGGTTAATGAGATCTCCTTCCCACTAGCTTGCAGTGAACATCTCACTCATCTGTCCAGGAGACTGGGCAGGCTGTGTGATGAAGTCACTTAGGGTCATAATGCTCATAGGGTTCCCAGCTCTGGCACGTGACTGTTGGACAGATAAAGTCTGAGATTGGCTTTGCTGGGTTTTAGGGTCTTTTTCTTTTACTGCCATGTCATAGTCTTACTGGAGTGCTGAACAGAAATGCCTGCACGGAGGAGGGAAGAAACAGCACTCTGGAAGAAGTGTCAGTTAAAAATGGGGTTCAGGGTTGAGATTTGCAACCTGAGTGATCCTGCTGTTTGTCCGTTTTGAGAGGGTGGCCAAAGCCACCCCTGGCATTTGATAATCCTGGGCACGAGGGCCTGTGTCCTTGGAGTGTCACAGACCGCAAGATTTCAGATCAGCCCAGGATCTCAGTCAGCATCCACCAAAACGATTTCAGGTAAAAGTACCCTGGTATGCTGAGGAAACACGCTAGTTGAGACTGCGAGAAACCTACAACTGCACCCAAAGTTAATGCAGTGGATGCAGTAAAATGCATGTAACCAGCCAAGATGATTAAACATAGAAGCGTTTATCTGACCTGGTTTTAACTCCACTGAAATTCTGGAATCTTTCATAGACAATTTTCCACCAAGAGTGCCCTTAAGTGGGTTAATGTTTCATGAGGTTAAGACTGATAAGGCAATTTCAAGATGATTTTTCAACCTTTCTTGCCACAGTAGGCAGAAAAAGTCTAACAGAATATAGCATTAAAATACAATCACCTTATCTCTGAGCTCTCCTGGGGAAAAGAACAGTAGGGTGGTGAAGTGGGAATTTATATTTTAAACATGATAGCATCTTCCTTCTGTTTTGCTCGTTTTGTCTGTTGCTTATTCCCCTTCTCACCTGTTCACTTTCAGGCTGAGCAGCAGAAGAAAGCAGCTGTCATCTCTGCTGAGGGAGACTCGAAAGCAGCCGAGCTGATTGCCAACTCGCTGGCCACTGCAGGCGATGGCTTGATTGAGCTGCGCAAGCTGGAGGCAGCTGAAGACATCGCGTACCAGCTCTCACGGTCCCGCAACATCACCTATTTGCCCTCTGGACAGTCTGTGCTCCTCCAGCTGCCACAGTGAACCTGGCTCTGCAGCCATAGCTAGCCTGTACCTCTACGTACCAGATCCGCCCTTTCCAAAAGAATCTTTGCATTTTCCTCGTTGGTAAAAGCAGAGGAAATTTAAAATTCAACCCATTTTGAATTCTCGATCAAATAAAACTGAACACTCTTGACAACAAACCTGCATTCCTCCCATGTACAGTCAGAGCAGTGGCTCCACTGACCATTAAGATAGGTTTGAGAATTGCCCCTTGCCAGGCAGTTTGAGCAACAGGAGCAGAGTTTTCATCTGTTCGCTCCTGGGACAAACAGGTAGCCCAGGTGACTCCCTGACCACAAGAGCTCGATCATTCCGATTTCACAGCAATGCTTCAGTGCCTTTAGGCTGGCCGAGCCAGGGTCGTTACAGACTTGCAGGTCCTGGACTATGGAACAGGGATGCTCAGGGCTCGCTCTTCAGTCAAGCCAGTCTTTTTTTCAGGCGTCTGCTGAGAGTAAGAGGACATCTCAGCTGTTGGCTCTGCTATGCCTGTGTGAACCGTAGCTGGAGACACAGATCGAGTGGATTGTGGCTGGGTGTGAGAACAGCAGAGATTCACTTTATGCAGTGGTTATGTTTCAGGCATGGAGAAAATACTTCCTCTGTAGGAAATACTTCTCATGTACATGCTGGAATGGGACATCTCCACTTCTCCCCCCACTGCTGCACGCTGATCTGTTTGCTGCCTTGTTGTGCAGCGTTGGTTCTTTCACCCAGGTCAGTAGAAGTGGCAGTTGGCCTATTCCAGATGGCACCTGGGACAAAGAGGGGATGACTCAGTGCTCCGTGGCTCAGGCAGTCAGAGGTGGGCAGAATTCTCTGTTACATCAATGCTCTTTTTATTTAGGGAATCTGAACTGTGAGGAGGATGTGATGGGCGAGATTGTATAACCAGCCTTCAATAAATGTCACAGTCCCAAGTGTAGTAGTGTGGGGGTTTTTTTATATCTCAGAAGAATGAAGGTTGCTCAGCGGAGCAAGACACCTCGTGCTTGTGCTAGGTTATTTGGATTAAAGTCTCGTAGCACAGGCATAGATCTTGCTCCTGACAACTAAAAGCTTGAAACATGATTCTTAGGCTGAATTCCTGCAACAAGGTAAGGCTGAGAGTATCTTGAGGTTATTGCGAGGGCTTTTCATTGCTTTCCATGCACAGTTCAGGCTGTCATTTACTGCATGTACGTACATTTTTCCAGGGTGCTCTTTTGATGCAACGCCGTGCCGTTGGTAAGAGAACGGGGGTTGTACTGTACCAGATGCAGCCTGCAGTGAACTTCAAGCCTGTGGGTGGCTGTCAGAAGGGAGGGTACTAGCCTGGCATGCCGTTACCCCCTTCCTGCAAACAAGATGCTCATATGCTGTCTGCTGTCCCTGAGCAACAAAGTCTTAGGTGGGTGACATCACTACCCGGAGGACACTGAGCCCTCCAGAAAGCTTCCGTGATTGGTGGGCTTGTTTTGTTTTGTCGTCGTACAGCCACTTTGGGTTGTTGCTCTCACCTCTGGCAAAACGGAGACTTGCCTGCTTTTTCTGCTGGGCAGGGTATGCTCTTGCAGTGATGAGGTGCCTGAGCTTGCAAAATACTTTAAGCAGCTGAGCAGTCTGATCCGTAACTCCCAAATAACTTCCAGACTTTTGCCCCCTCCAGTGCTCTTGTTCTTTATTCTTCTGGTTTACCGCTTCACACACTTCTCAGGGAGCTTCCACTTTTCTCCCAAGGCTCCTTTTAAAGCCCCCGCAGCGTTTCCTGCGCTTCTCTCCGTTAGTTTCATGCACCAGGTGTTGGGCTCAAAACAGTGTGTCTGAAATCCCTTCTCAGCTTCTGTGGCTCTGCGTTACCGCTCCCCCCAGTTCTGCATTTTCAGTGGAGTGTGGAGTGTTTCCTGCTGCTTTTGCTGTCAGCCTCTCTGGAGAAGGTATCTGAGGCTCTAACAGTGGCCCCTGGGTCTGATTAATCACCATTTCCTTTGCTTTTGGGTGTAATTCTTTTTACAAATGTTCCCTGGCTGTTAACTGCTCCTTTACCCTCGCTCTGCCTCGCTTAATGCCTAAAGCTGCCGTGAACTCATCAGACTTCAAAGCTGGTTTTGAACTCGTAGCTATCTCGGGGTGTGCTAGCTGAACCCCTTGTTTATACTGTTTATAGCTGCTCTTCAGCCTTGCAGACCGTGTGGGCTGTCGAGCTATCTGGCTCCAGATGGGAATGGTGACCCTAAAATCAGGACGTGATTTTGTGTGGGCTGCACAGGGATACTGGGCGAGGAAACAGCTTGTCGGATGGATGCTGCTCTGCGAGCTGCATCTCTGCCAAACTTCTTAGGTGCCGGCAGACTCCTTCATACAAAACAAAACAAAAAGTTGGGACTGTGCAGTCAAGGACTGGCCCGCCTGGTGTTCCTGGCCAAGGCTGGGCTGAAGGGTCAAAGGCTGAATTTCCCAGGATGCTGGGCCCTTCCCTCCCAGCTTTCGGGAGGTGGTAGCAGGGTGTGAACACTCTCTCTCAGTGCTCTACTTGTCAGGGCAATAGAAAGAGCTTGGGGCTCGGTAACATGACATCCCCACCCTCTCCACTTGGTGTTTCTAACCTTGTTGCTCTTAATCCCGTTAAAAAAACCTGTTCATGGAAGTGGAGCACAACCTGGGTTGGAGAAACAAGGGAGAGGGTTGAGGTGTGTGGCTTTGCAGTGAGGGCAGAGAGAGGAGTATTATCCCAGAGAGCCAGCTGATCAGCCTGGGGTCCTGACACTGTCCCCAGCTGCAGCGCAGAGCTATGGCAAGGGCTGCCTGCTCTCTGCAACTCTGGTGTAGAGAGGTGCTGGAGATGCTCCAGAAATCTACTGACATCATCTACCTGGACTTGTGCAAAGCATGTGATGCTCTCTCGCATGACGCTCCAGTCTGCAAACTGGAGAGATGTGGATTTGATGGATGGACCACTCAGTGGATAAGGAACTGGCTGGCTGGTTACACTAAAGGATGACATTGGACCTTATTCAGTAGGTCCAGAGAATGTGACGGAGATGCTCCGAGGGCTGGAGCACCTCTGCCATGGGGACAGGCTGAGAGAGTTGGGCTTGTTCAGCCTGGATAAGGGAAGGCTCTGGGGAGACCTTATTGCAGCCTTCCAGTACCTGAAGGGGCTACAAGGAAGTTTGGGGGGACCTTTTCAAGGACGGAGTGACAGGGCAAGGGGTGACTGGTTTAAACTGAAAGTGGGGAGGTTTAGATTAGATATCAGGAAGAAATTCTTCCTGCAGAGGGTGGGGAGGCACTGGGACAGGTTGCCCAGAGAAGCTGTGGATGCCCCATCCCTGGAAGTGTCCAAGGCCAGGCTGGATGAGGCTCGGAGCAACCTGGTCTAGTGGAAGGTGTCCCTGCCCGTGGCAGGGGGTGGAAATAGATGGTCTTTAGGGTCCCTTCCAACCCAAACCATTCTGTGATTCTATTCTAAATGGCAGCTGTTCCCCCTCCTCCTCACCCTCCAAGCAAGAGAGGGACTGTCTTGTGACCGTGCCTGGAGGGACAACCACTGTCTCCGACATGGTACTCCATGACCACCGTGTGCCATGTCTTTTGAGTAAGACACTTCAGCCCAAGGTGAGCCATGATCGTGGGTGGGAGGCAGCTGGATGATGCCACTTGAAAGGAGGTGAAGAAACCTCAGGTTTGTTCCTGTGAACAGAAAAGCCAGTGGGCCCATGGGTTGGCTGTCACGCCTGGATTCCCACGGCCTGAAATGTGGATTCCCACTGCCTGAAATGAACAGCATGAGTCTGAGTGATTGAAGAATTTCCTGCACTGGGCAGTTACACCAGTTCTCTGTTGTGGGGGCTTTCTGCTGCTTATTAGGGACTGCAGCCATGCTAGAACTTCTGCTTTGGGGAGGGGAATGCTTTCTGTGGTCATTTTTTTTGCCACCTATTTGCACAAAACGCTTTGAATTTAGTATATGAAACAACTTGTAATCCCCCATCAAGTTAGTTGGAAATTGTTTTTCTCCAGAGGAAAGAGAACATGATTGCATAAAGCCAGTGCTTCCCCAGTAAGGTTGGATGTGTTAGTGCGCTGGAGAAAACACACTTATTAAGCAACCCAGCTGAAATGGCCCAAAAACTTCCTGCAAGAGAGGCTGTGTCAGGCTCTCCCTCAGCAGTGCTGAGAGACACCAGCATCACACCAAGGTAGTCCTGGAACTTTCAACTTTCCAACAAAGCGTGGCATTTAGCACCAAAGTCTTGGGGCTGGGAGTGTTTTGCTGAGGAGTGGTGGAGGCCGTAGCTTTCCTGCTACTGATGACAGAACACGTTAGCCAGGAAAGAGGCTTTGCAGTCACCGTTTTCTGAAGGCAAGATGAAGGCAGACTGCGGAGCGGCGAGGGCAGCAGCCAGGCTGCTGTCCCACCAGATGGCAGCAGCAATGCTGTGCTCTGCGCGGGACCGAAGAGTGTCCCTCGGCCTGGCATGGGAGAGGAGAGTGGGGAGGTCACCCTGCCCTGGGCAGAGGATGCCAGGAGTGGATGTGGACATGGGGAAACACAATAGCACAGTTTCTGGGTGAGGAAGAAAAAGCCCAAGGTGGCATGAGGCCTGCCTGCCGGGCAGTACCTCTCGGGCAAGCAGATTTAGTCCCTGCGCCAGGTTGTCCTGGTAAACCTCGGATGTCCTTTTCACTCTGTGTTGAGCATCTCTGGTCCCAGCTCCAGATTTGAACCCCCCTAGCCTAGGGCAGTGCACTGAAAGGTGCAAATGCCTGTCTCCCTTTCTAACTCTGGTCCCAGGGTGGCTTGGCACTGCAGCCTTGCAGCCCTTTGAGCATTCCTCCTACCCCTTTCCCACGCACCAATGGTCATCCCTAGTTTATTACCAGGACAGGAACAATAGAAATGTCTAAGTGTGACTTCAACAGTGCAAGTTGTTTTAGTTTGACCTTAGAAAACAGCACTGAGCCTTTGGGTCAAACCGTCAGCATGATGACTAACAATCTGTGGCCCCAAAGCAATCGGAGTAATGGCAGCATGGACTCATCACTTGTATTTCTCTTAATACAGCCCAAGAAGTAAACTATAGGGATCAGGTTTTAGGCAAAGGTCAGCTGGAAATGGGCAATGTAAGCCCTGCTGGGGTGACTTAAGAGCCCTATA